AGCTCTCATAGTAATTATATTATCTTCAAATTTGTAACTCACTGATGAAAACAGATTGTTATTACCACAAATAGTTATAGTCACATGGACAATTACCTCGCAACTCAGTGGCGGTTCATAAGGATCATCAATGCCAGTAAAACCTGAGGCCAACGGGAAAGTTAAAAACTAAAGAACACGTGAGAAAAGCTAAATCACAAAGCAAGAGAGATAAATCCTACCCTTGACATGTGATGTGGAAGCAGCTTTGAATTTTAGAAACCAGGATATAATTAACTAATTAACTTGTTAACTGATAAAATGAAGTTTAGGCCAGCTGATATGGCCAAATGGTCTAAATCAGAAAGGAAACATGTCATTGCTCAAATATTTCTGAATGATTGCTCCAATGTGAACCAAAGCAAATGCGAGTAACATTACATTCCCTACAGAACATTGCTTGAATATTGCTTTAAGTCTAATATGCCAAGGCCATAAAATATTGGTGGGGTTTTGCATTCACCACACAACCTTCTCAGAACCAAAATATTAAGGTCATTTTGGTTCAAAAAGTGGCTATTCCAAAATTATTACATAAAATTAAAATAAAATTTATGGGGATGTAGCAGAGTAGTAATGATTATCATGACCTCGTGTTCCTACTGTGGCACATACTCTCTATTTTACTTTATTTTCATGTAATAGTTATGAAATGGTAATTCTATGAACCAAACATGTAAATTTAGTTTTGGATTCCTTAAAAAATGATGCAGTTCACAAGAAACAAAAGAGAGTTAGTGCTATAGCAACTACCCATTTTAATTTGATAATCAGGATAAAATAATCCTTATGTAAACACAGAAAAAGTTATTATCCATTTTATCTTTCAACTATTTTCAACCTTATAGTTTTCATTTCCACATTCCCATTTGGTTGTTACAGGTAACCAATATCATATCTCTGTTCCATGGAGTTAGCATGTGAGTGATGAAAGAAAAGGTAGAGAGAATAAGCACAGGCACAAGCAGCATAACCATTTCTCATATATGGAAACAAGTAAGGCACACACCGTTAATCTTTCCAGCACGTGCAAGCTTGTAAAGACCTTTTGAATCTCTTGCCTCACACAATTCTAGAGGCATATTCATGAAAACCTGTAGATGAGTGGGTAAAATCTCAAACATCTACAAGAAAAAGATATATGGAATCAAAATAAAGAACAATCCATAAGGTGCCTTGCCTCAATAAAATTTTTATCTGGCAGCATTGCACGGCAAGCATCACGGTCTTTTCTATATGGAGATATTAGACTAGCAATGCAGATTAGACCAGCATCGGCAAAGAGCTTTGCAACTTCCCCTAAATTATGTAAATAGAACTAAAAACTTAGAATAAGTTGAAGAAAATACAGTAGATAATGACTAGCTGAAAAAGTGAGCCTAAAGACCTGGCAGAATGGGAGGTTGTTAGCCTCGTAGTTATAAAAGATATTATTCAGCTCATTTTATCTAATTGGTGGTAATAAGATGTTTGAAATGTAGCACATTCATTTACAATAATTTTACTCATGCACCAAAGACAGGCCAAACTTTAAGATTGGTTAGGTTTTTTTTTTTTATGGGTAAGATTGGTTACACACTAATTACATGCAGAATGGATCAATGTCCAGGTTAAATGCAGCATAAGATCATTATTTTTTTTTTTTTAGGTTTTCCTTAAGTTTGGAGGATCACAGTCAAATACAATTTCTACCAGAAAGAGACCATTAAAAAACCAAGTTAAAGTTGGCTAAAGAAATAAGATGAGGGTCATTAAAGTCTGGTCCAAAATAAGTTTGAGCAGCAAGAGTTCAATAAGAGAGCCATAGGAAAGAAATTAAGTACTCAATTACTTCAAAAGCATACTTACCAACTCTGCGTATATTTTCAGCTCGATCTTCTGCCTTGAACCCAAGATCCTTGTTTAATCCATGCCGCAGGTTGTCTCCATCAAGTACATAAGAAAGCTTCCCCTTTGTGTGTAGTTCTCTACTTAATGAGCACGCCAGTGTGCTTTTCCCTGAATGATTCACAATTCAGATAAAAAGCACCTTTAGTTTAGTTTTAAATCTATGATGCTAACCATCAAAAGTAGGTCCATTGGCAGTTGCAAACTTCTATGCAATTGGCATATTGGCCTATGAATACAACTTATATATTCATAAGATCAAAACTACATCCAGATATAGAGTCTATAACATAAAAGCTATGACAAAAACGAAAACGTTTCTGATTGGACATCTGTTTGGAAAAATATTTTAAATGTAAATGAACAAGAAGATATATTAGCAGCTAGATATCTTTTCCAAAGCAGAAAATTTCTACATGTTCCAAAAGAAAACTGGCAATTAAATATAAGAAAGTCATTTTTAAAGATAAACCTGATCCACTGAGACCCGTGATCCATACAACACATCCCTTTTGGTTTATTAACCTCTGCCTTTCAAGCTTCCCAACTGGGCATTCTTGCCAAAATATATTGGTTGAATTCCCCAAAGAAGCCATCCCAAAAAATTCTTAATCTTTAATTATCTAGTCACAGTAAAATAGTGGTATCAGTAACAGCAGCCCAAGAAACCAGTATCCACATAACAAACAATATTAAGTAAGTTGAAATTCAAGTAATTCAAAGCACCCATTTGACAGAATTAATTCCAGGAAGTTGATGTTCATATCTAACTACACTTTGAGCTCCATCTTAAGAACCAACACATCAGGGTAAGATTACTCAAAGATTTTCCTTTGTTAGTTAGAAAGGCCAATAACTGTTACATGGTCAAACCATTTGAAGCATATCGTGGTGCTTAAAGCAACAACATTCATATTTGAACAACTAACATCAACGATCAATTTAACATAGCTTTTATAATAAAAATACTAGTTCTTCCGTTCAAACTTCAAACAAAACCACTACATCACCAGAAGCACCTACACCAACACATTGTCATTTAAAATCCCATTGGACTTTGAACAAATCAAAACCAATTAATATCTCCTTGACACAACCACCATGATCTAAAACCATTAATTATGAGTGATGATAATTAGAAGAACAACAGCTACAGAAAATAAATGATGGGGTTACAAAAAAAACCCAGAAAGAAAGATTCTTTACATCAATGTATTATATGAACATGGAAAATGAGTATCTGGCATTGAACAAACAGAAAGCATTTTATTATTCCCATCACATTTTCAAGCAATTCAGCGTCACCCAGCAGACAAAAAGCAACAAACAAAAGAGAAAAGGATTCAGATACCTGAAAAGAAGCCAGAATTGTCCTCTAACTTGGCTGCCTGAGGGGTGGCAGAGGAGGGTTTATAAGTGGGTGGAATTTCGAAGAAGACGGAGTGGAGAGAGCATTAAAAGGGGAATCAGTAAATGGGCAGAGAATAAATATGAAATACAAGACACAGAAAAATAGCATTTATCTCTAAAGTTCTAATGAGTGTCCTGTGGAAGTCACAAACTATGGAATAGGGAGACAATCTAATATCCTAATATAGAGGACTTTGCTCCATTTAATAATTGTTGTATGGTAGGAATATTTTTTGACATTAGTGTTTCTTAGTGGGAATTTTAAAAAAAGAATTAGAGGAAATAAACTAGAAAATTATGTTATTTTTAGAAAGTAATATGAGAAAATATTAAAATATTTTTATTTTTATTTTAAATTATTTTAATTTTTAATAAAAAAATTATTAAAATAATTTAATATTGAAATGTTTTTCTCTCAAATTTTTTAAAGATTTAATTTACAAATATTTTTTTATATTTTTAAAATTTTTATTAAAAAATGTCCTAAATAAAGTTTTAATTTCTAATTTTGAAAGACAATTTTAACAACAATGAATTTTCTTTTTGACCTTAGGAGTAACTAGTAGCATGGTTGATAATGGAAAAGTCTATAGTATAATCCTTATATTGTGTTGGTAGTATAACCCCTAAATGAAACATGTAAATAATAAAAATAGACCTTTTTATTACTCAAACATGTGGGTTAATAGAGCTTAGTTTTGATTATATATTAAATTGTTGTTAGTGATATAATGATTTTTTTTCGTATATTTGAATGAGTTATACAAAAAGGATAACCCTCCTCTTTCCCCAAATCTCTCCCCACTTGATTTAAGATTTGAACTTAAAATCTCAAAGTTTTAATCATTGAACCATCCATTAGAGATAATGATATAATGATTTTATTGGTAAGAAAGTTTGCTCCATCTCTACTTCATTGACAAAATTTCATTCTTATTAAAAGTTAATGTGAAAGTAATTTTTTTTTAAATCATAAACTTTTTAATCTAACATAAATAACTTGAATTTGAATGGATTAAGAAGGTGAAAAAACAAAGTAAGTATAATGCCAAAAATAATTGAATATAAAAAAGAATAAAACTTTATAATACAGATATTGGAGAGATCGAAGGGATTCTTAGGAAAGTAAAACTCTCAAATGTATTTCTTAAATTGAAGAATATGAATAGATCTACCCCCCTCAAATGTATTTAGACACCCTTTCCATCTACATTGCATAAACCTTTGTTTCCATTTATTTGACATAATTTCACATTTATATATGTCAATGAAGTCAAATAAATTGGACCCTTTAGATGTAATTTAGATAGTGACACTCAATGGACCTCACCCCTTTCTAGTCTAGTTACATGCATTCCTTGCCGTTTTGATTAAATTCTATGTGGTCTACAAGTTTCCATGTCATAAAGGAATCGAATGACAAAGCAGAATTGACCTGACCTACCTTGTGTGTACATAAATTGCTGTTAAATTAGAATATTCTTAAATAAAATATTTTGTCCTGTAATCTGGTAGCAAGAAACATGTTTTCTCTTTTAATAATTTTTATTTGGTAGTAAGTAGAATTCAAATTATAAATTTGAAAACAACTATTAATTTATGTGATTCTTTGAATTTGAGATGAATGAAACATAGTCATTAGAGGCGTAGCTGCAAGCTTAATCAGATTGAGGCATAAGACTCAAACATGGGTCTAACTTATGGTATAGACTAGGCCATTAAAGATACTATTTCCTATTAAAAACAATTAAGGACACTAGTATCTTCACACAAGTCATAATAAGAACCAATTTAAGAGAAAGAATTATGGAGTAATTTGTTAAATTATTATTTAAAAGATATTTTATCCTTTTATCGTATACATAGAGTTTGAACTCTCATTCTCTCTTCTCACAAAAATTTTGTTATTCATATGTATAGAGTTTGAACTCTCATTTTCTTTTCTCACGATAATTTTGATAAATTGACATGTCCTATTAAAAAGATAAAAACAATTTAACAAAATTGTGCTGATGTTGCCTATAAATAGTCACTCCCACACGAGTGGTGTCACTCATTTCTTATTATTAAATCTCCAATTTAAATAAAAAAAGAAAGAATTGTAGAATAATTTATTAAATTATTAGTTAAAAGTTACTCTTTTACTTGTATATATAGAGTTTGAAATCTCATTCTCTCTTCTCACAAAGATTTTGTTATCCATATGCATAGATTTTGAACTCTCATTCTCTTTTCTCACGCTGATTTTTATAAATCGACATGCCCCATTAAAAAAAAAAAAAAAAACCAACTTAACAAAATTGTGCACATGTTGCCCATAGATAATAACTCCTACACGAGTGGTGTTACTCATTTCTTATTAAATCTCCAATTTAAATAAACAAATCCTGTTCATGTTTGGCTAGTGATGGTGATTATGTTTTTGTCAAATTATAAAAGTAAATTTGAAAAACTTCCTTAAGAAGTTAGAGATAGTTAATAAATAGTTATAATTTAATGTTGATAATTTTTTTTACTAAACTAAAAAATAAATAAAAATATATATTATGATTATTTTTTAAAAAATACTTATTCTTTGATTATTTGTTAATATACAACAAAATTTACACATTAAGGCTTTATTATCTATATTTTTCTATGTAAATTTCTTAATTTTAATTGATTTTTATAATTTTGTCAAAAAAATAGCTTCCACCACCGACTCACCAACCAAACACGAATAGAGAAGAAAAGAAAGGGAAATATTTCATTTTTGAATTCTAGCAAAATATCATCTCTTTCATCTTCAACAAGCTTACATATAGGCACATGCCACACAATAAAAATGCATGATAATCCCTTAAATGTGTCTTTATTTGCTTCTTAGACATAGATGATGTCCTTAATTGTAGTAGAAAAAAAAGCCAATTTTTATTTCAAGAGTCAAGATGAACTTTCATTAGTGTAATTACTTTATCATTACTCATGTAGTTAATAATTTTCTATATAGTTTGTATTGCATAAATAGAATATAAAATTTAACAGTTGGTTTGGTAAAATACAAATGATACAAAGAAGTATTAACTAGTGTAAAAATTCAAGAAGTTGTAGTTTAGTTGGTGAGAGGATTTATTCACCACTTTATTGACAAGGTTCAATTCCTTAGTCAAGCTAATAAATTGGTAATTTCTCATGAATTTCCTAATCTCAATATGGATGACTTGCCTTTAATTGTATCAAAGAAAGATAAATCTCAAGATGTGCATAAGTTGACTTGAAAACATTTAAATTGTTAAACTTAGTTAAACAAAAAAAAAAAAGAAAAAGAAAAAAAAGATGACTAGTGCAAGTAATGATGTAAGTTACATTAGTATAAGTTAATCCTAACTTAGATGGGGCCAAGATCAACTTACACTTGTGTAGTTTACACCATTACTTACATTCGTAAATAATTTTTTGTATAATTTGTATTTTTCTAAATTCATATTTGAATTTAATATTTTATTTGTGTAAATCATGTCTACTAAATTTCAAATTAATTGAATGGGTTTAACTATTTTACAAGTATTTTTTAAAAAAATTATTAGTAATTTAGAAAAAATTTCTTAATTTACGATTCAAACTACGTTATACTGTAAAATAAAAATCATTAAACAAGAAGGCAACACCCAATATCAAAAAGCCACCAATCACCTCAATCTAATAATTTATATTATATAATCTCTTTGACACTTGCGCAACACTTTTTTAATTTAAAAACAAGGTATAGAGGCAGGCTCTGCAAATTGTAGTTAATGAATTTAGTTAAGATATAGAATGTGATACATAAGGATGATGAGAAATTGAAAAGACTATGAAAATCTGGGGGGCTTGCAAGGAATGATGGGCCGTTTAACGATTAGGCTTTAAGGGGTTGTAATTGGATTTTTTTAGTTTTTTCAGTGGTGTTAACTTTCTAGATTCTAATTATGTCAAGATGTAAGGATGCTTGAGACTGGGCTTTATTCGCTCATGGTCCACAAGAGGATCAAATTGGGCCGGGTTTGGATCTAAATGGGGAAATTAGTAATGTCTTCTGTCACCGGCGGTGATCTTATCCTAACCCTCCCAGCTGCTCTTGAGCAGGCGTGGGGATGTCTTAGACACACGGAGGAGAAGCAAAATCCATGAACTATAATAATGCAGGCGCTGCTCCTGGTGGGACCCACCCCTGTCAACGGCTCCTATGGCTTCTTCTCCGCCTTCTCCGGCAACCCTTTGATTTCCGATCGCTGCAGCAGCTGCCCCTACTATCGTCGTGACGACAACCGCAGCTCCCGCCACCGTTGGGTACCGCTGGCAGCTTCCTCGTCCTCATTTCCATCGTCGGATGCAATCAACGGCAAACAAAACCACTATTCTGTGCTCGGCATCGAACGGGACGCCGCCCCTGCTGATATCAAGAGAGCTTATCGACTACTAGCACGAAAGGTATGGGTTTTGGATTTGCTGATTCTGTTTGGTTGCCGAGGGAGTGAAGCAAAATGGAAGAGAAAATTGATGGTGTAGTGTGTTTTCTCTTTGAAAAGTTTTAAGCTTGCGTCGTTGTTCTTTGCAATTCACTTGATGCATTAGAAATTTTATTGCTGAAAAAAATGTATCATGGTATTGTTTCTGTTTTCTGATTGATTCCTTACCTTAAATTATCTGTATTTTTCTTGAGTTGAATGCCTGACGCTGGAAAAAATTTGAAATGATTGCTTGTTGTTAAGCATAATACTGATTAAACTTGTTATTTGGGTTGGCAAAGGGACAACCTTTTCTTTGAATGCAAACATTAGCAATGATGCTATCTTGAAAATAAATCATGGCTTTTCACCAACTGGGAATTTCAAATGTTATATAAAGGAAAGGCTTAAGGTGATTTAGGTAACGAAAATAGAGATTTTGTGAAACATTGAAGTTACTGTTGGAGCCTCCCATTTCTTTTGTGGTTGATTTTGTCGCACCTTTATCTTTAAGTTTTCGTACATGTTATATGGTTATTTGAAATAAGGATGCTTCAGGGAGTGTTGCATTATATTATGCAAACTTTAGATGATATCTTTAAGGCATTTTGCGTAAAACTGAGTTAATCTTCACTGTTACGTTGTGTATTAACAAAAGTTTGGTTTGTATTGTACAGAGCTTGTTTGAATCTAGTGTAAATCTTAATGAGGCCTTGGATATAGAATGAATCTGTTCTCAATAATGATTTGTTTGCTAATCCTTTTAGAATCCTCAAGTCTTCTGAACTTTTCCTTGAGTAATTTGCTGCCTGCATTTATGGTGAATCCACAACTGAATGGTAAATTGGCAATTCTATTAGTTTTGAAATATGGAGCTTCTAAAAACACCAACTTCTGCTGTAGTTTTCATTCACTGCTCCATACCCATGAGTCTTAAGGCATTAGGCATATTGAATCTGCACTACTTCTTTGGGGATCTGTTGTTTAGATTGATCATGATGTGGTTAACTGGGCATTGGGTACTGGAATGCAGTTATTATAACATTGTCTTACTGATTTATGCCCAATGACTAATACTGTTGGTTACTTTTATTGTTTTTGACTTAAATAGCTTTTGTTCTTAATCCTGTTGAATTATTTCAGTGAAGAAGTCCTTTTTGTTGCCTGCGTTTGATTTGTCTTTCAGATGGGTTCTAATGTAAGTTATACTTTGTGTTTTTTCATGCTATGTTTTCAGTATCACCCTGATGTTAGCAAAGATTCACGAGCTAGTGAAATATTCAAGAACATCCATCGTGCATATGAAGTGAGATTCCTTATGTCCTTGTTGCCTGTCTTTATGCATGATTGAGTCTAGGCATTGCATTTTTTATGTATGATTTTTGTTGAGACTGTCTTATCTTTGCCACTAGATTTCTGGAGTTTAGATTGATTCTCTCCTATCATATTTATTCCAACACCATAGAATTCTCTAGGCTATTGACCTGTGTTACTTTTGGCGTGCTATCATATAACTTCTGCCTTCTCTTGGACTTTTTATAAAAGGCTGAATGTTAACTAAACAAAGATACAAATTCAATAAGTATTGTTGCATGATGAACTCTGAATCCATTAGTATATGCGTGCACACACACAAACCCACCCACAATCTATCCCCTCTTTTCTTTTTGTTTCTTGTGTTTATATTTTGGAAAATTGATGATAAAAATTTCAATTGTTCTCTTGTTCTTAACAGGTGTTATCAAATAACGTGACAAGAATTCAGTATGATAGAGAACTTACATTCCAAGAGGATACTGTGAGATCGTATAAAGGGAAATGGAATGACAGTTCTGAATTTGAAGATAGGGTGAGGATTTATAGATGGGCTGAACTGAGGCGAAAGATGCATAAGAGATATAAAGAGCAAAATAATGTGAATGAGAAGAATTCATTTTTCTACAGTGAAACAGATGAGCAAGGAAACCTGGATCAAGACCGTGGTTCATTCACTGTGGTGCTGAGTTTCGCCTTCGTATCTCTTTTCTTGCTGCAGACCTTCGGTTCCCTGTTATCTCTTACCTTCAGTACCCTGATGGCATTCTTTGATAGAAAGTTGGATGCTGGATACAAGATGGGTTATTTAATTGCATGGATTATGGGTGGCAGAGGCGGGATTTTACTGACTTTGTGCCTCTATTTTGCAACTTGGGCTTTCGGAAAAACCAGCAGCAGCTTAGTTGCTCTGGTTGTCGTAGCCATGTGGGTTGCCTCCAGTCTTGCAAGATATGCTCCCCTTCCTCAAGGTGCCGTTCTTACTCTCCTATACATGTCGATGAAGCTACAAACTGATTTCAAATAATCTCTCTACATAATCAATGCAAAATTTGCATTCTTTCTTCTGCACTACCGATTGTAAATTAAACCAATCTTTCTTACTTCTGTGTTTTGACATTGATTGTACATAAACTCATTCTGTTTGTTATATTGCAAAGGTTGTGAGAATAAAACTACAACTGTAATCTCAATTGATGATAATTTTTGGTTTCTTACCATTGATCTGAGACAAGAAGTAACAATTTTACTTAGAATTTCACCGAAAAAACTGCACAATGCTTCAAGAAGAGATTGTGAAAAAGAAGAAAAATCATATATTCAACTATTTGGATCATTATTGATTACACAATTGTAACTCAAAAGTCCTAACAGCTCTTGACCTCATCTTTCTTCTTCAAGTCCCTCAGATTCCTCCACAGATACTTCCCGCTGGCCATGTCAACGAATACCCAGAATCCACTCTGAACCATCTGAGATCCCAAAGAATAATAAAAGATTAATCCAAGAAACCAATCCGCAAAATTCTTGAAGAACAACAAGATTTTTCAGAAACAAAACATACCCTTTTGAAATTGAGTTCTTCGTTGTCCTTGACCGCCGTCCTCTCCGCCGTGGAACCGTCGGCGATAATTTCCTCAACATCCGGCGAGGACCGTACAGTTCTCCACGCAAGATACCCAGCTAAAACTGCAGAGAAAAACACCAAGATGAACCTGAGCGGACACATTGTCACCTGATTTTCGTCGATTGGAGAGGGGAGTGCAGATGAATCGGAGATGGAAAGATTGTGTGTCGGCAAAGGAAAATTCTGAAGGCAGGGATTAAATGCTGCCAGAGATAAAGGCTGCGACTCAATATAAATTCAAAGGGAAATAATGACAAAAACGCGTTGGCGAATAAAACCGGCAGCGGACAATGTCAATGGTGTTCGGCTAAAACAACACGAAGTCAAAACTGGATCCACCTACTGCCTTAGGACAATGTCAGCACGTTCAGAAGCTTTTAATTTCCAGTTTTCAGTTTCTTAATTTTCCAAAAATAATAATAATAATAATAATAATGGTAGTCTGTCGGAACAATGAAAAGATGGTGTGGTGCGAACTGGAATTGGAATCAAACAAAATGTATTAGGTGACAAGAAAAATAATATGTATTAGGTAAAATGATCAGCCAAAGATGAAGCCTAATATATGTACCATATGTATGAAAAAAAGGATAAGCTTTTTGAGATTGAGGAAATGTTGCATATTAAATGCTATAATTATAATGATATGTAATAAATTTATAATTATAAGGTAATACAAAAGAAGGTGACGTGTAATTAAATAAATTGATGTATATAATATCATGAATAGATCATTGAGTAAAAAAACTAATTATATAAATATATTATGTTGTAAACTTAAAATATTATATAATATTATAATTGTATTGTTTTTTGCATTTTTATTTATAATTCAAATGTCTAACCTCTTACTCCTTTTCTTTCAAAATAATTATATTCATTTTATCTTAAAATAATTTTCATTTTTAATTTTTTCTCTAAATTAAAATTTTAAAAATAATTTATATGTTTACTTATACCACCCTTAAAAAATAAATAAAATTGATAACTAGAGATTTTTTGTGATAAAATAATAATTAAAGTAAAAGAATAATGATAGGTTAAAAGTAAGAAAGAAACATTCATTTAAAAAAATAATTAATTTGAAATAAATTTAAAATTAAAAAAATTGTTATTTTGGGATGGTAAGATTAAAAATTACCCTCTTTATTCAACTTTAATTATTCTACCTTCTAATTTAAGACATTTAAATTTAAGATTTGTTTAATATGATTGTGGTTTTCTGTTTTAGTTTTAATTTTTATAAATTTCGCAACCCTAAATAAAAAATCTTGTTTAGTTTTATGTGTTTTTATACTATATATTTATTATTATTAGAGAAATAAAAACAAAAATAATTTTAACATTGTTAAATGAGTTCATATTTTTAGTTATTAGTACAGTTAAAACTTGTTTTAAACAAGTTTTTAATTTTAAATTTAAATTTTTTTTTTT